CAGAGGGGTCGTTATGGTTGCTGTCTTTGTTGTTTGTTTGTTTTCTCTGTTCATCACTCTTGCCTGTCTATCAAATTTTTTTTTTCTCTCTCTCAGTCTCTCATTCTCGTTCCTCTCTCTCCTCTCTCTCTCTCTCTCTCTCTCTCTCTCTCTCTCTCTCTCTCTCTCTCTCTCTCTCTCTCTCTCTCTCTCTCTCTCTCTCTCTCTCTCTCTCTTTCTCTCTCCTCTCTCTCTCTCTCTCTCTCTCTCTCTCTCTCTCTTCTCTCTCTCTCTCTCTCTCTCTCTCTCTCTCTCTCTCTCTCCTCTCTCTCTCTCTTCCCTCTCTCCCTTCTCCCTCCCTCTCCCTTTCTTCCTCTCACTCCCCCCCTATCACCCCTCATGGGCTTATTTCCATCTCTCTCTCTCTCTCTCTCTCTCTCTCTCTCTCTCTCTCTCTCTCTCTCTCTCTCTCTTCTCTCTCTCTCTCTCTTCTCTCTCTCTCTCCCTCTCTCTCCCTTGTCTGTCTGTCTGTTCTGTCTGTCTGTCTGTCTGTCTCTCTCTCTCTCTCTCTCTCTCTCTCTCTCTCTCTCTCTCTCTCTCTCTCTCTCTCTCTCTCTCTCTCTCTCTCTCTCTCTCTCTCTCTCTCTCTCTCTCTCTTCTCCATTATTTAGTGTTTCCCATTACTATCATCACTATCATCCTTATCACTCTCATGACCATCACTATCACTATTATCCTTATTATCCTCTTTATCATCATTACTTATCCCCCTCTTTCCCATAGGCTACAACTCCCGAAACAGCACGGGCTTTTCAGTTTCAGACCTTTTTATTATTTATCATTATCATTATTATCATTATTATTATCATCATTATTAATATTATTATTATCATCAGTTCTTCTTAATTTCCATCATCCTCATGATCATATTATCCCTATTATCCTCTTTATCACTCTTCCTTCTTCCCACAGGCTACAACAGCCGCTCCCGCAACAGCACGGGCGCCGAGAGAGAGTTCAGTTCAGGACTTTTTATGTTATTATTATTATTATTATTACTATTATCATTAGGAGTTTTATTATTATTGTTATTATTATCATTATTATTATTATTATTCAGTTCTCATAATTTCCATCATCTTCATTATCATCATTATCCCTATTATCCTCTTTATCACTCTTCCTTCTTCCCACAGGCTACAACAGCCGCTCCCGCAACAGCACGGGCGCTGAGAGAGATTCAGTTCAGGACTTTTTATGTTATATTATATTATTATTACTATTATCATTAGGAGTTATTATTATTGTATTATTATCATTATTATTATTATTATTCAGTTCTCATTAATTTCCATCATCTTATTATCATCATTATCCCTATTATCCTCTTTATCACTCTTCCTTCTTCCCACAGGCTACAACAGCCGCTCCCGCAACAGCACGGGCGCCGAGAGAGAGTTCAGTTCAGGACTTTTTATGTTATTATTATTGTTATTATTACTATTATCATTAGGAGTTGTTTATTATTATTATTATTATTATTATTATTATTATCATTATTATTATTATTCAGTTCTCCATAATTTCCATCATCCTTATTATCACCATTATCCCTATTATCCTCTTTATCACTCTTTCTCCTTCCCACAGGCTACAACAGCCGCTCCCGCAACAGCACGGGCGCCGAGAGAGAGTTCAGGAGCTTCGACTACGAGAGCGACTTCGAGACGGACGAGGATGTAGGTCTTGGGGGGGAAAGATTTGTTTATTCGGTTGATTTTGGTTTATTTGTCTTTTATCTTTGGTTTGATTGGAGGTGTTTATGTTTGTTTGTTTTGTTTGTTTTTTATGTTTGTTTATTTTTGTTTTGTTTTGTTTTTTTTTGCTTGTTATTTGTTTTGTTTTTGTTTTGTTTTGTTTTTGTTTGGTTTTGTATTGTTTTTTGTTGTTTATTTATGTTTCGTCTGTTTATTTGTTTTGTTTGTTTGTAATCATGTGGTAATTCACCGGTTCATTGAATTTAGTTATTATTTGTCTAATTATATATTTGTTTTCATTTAACTAGTTAATGAATCTATCTATCTATTAATTTATTCCCTATTTTCATATTCATTTTGCAACATTTCTTATTATTTTGTTCTCTAATTTCGCCTTTTGTCTCTTTAGTTCGGCATATTAATCTATGTTATTACTTATTCCATCATTATTTTTTTCACTTCTTTCTTTGTATAACTTCTATCTCCTTTTTTGGATAAAGGTGATCCATTAACCTTCTATTAACGTTAATGAAAAGGCATAACTAGTCTACAAAGCTGTGAATTAAGCTGTGTCAAATAAGCATAAATATTTGAAAAATAAAAATTAATACATTAGTTTGCGATCGGAAGATTTATGTGTATGTAATATCTCGTTCTATTGCTCTAATAATTTTTTTGTATGAAAATCGAGTAATTATTCCTTATCAGCCAATTGACAATTACCGTGACAAATTAATTGCTCATTGATCTAGCCTTGACCATTCCAAGTAGTGAAATAAACGTAATTTATCATGGATCCAAAACAAATATCAAACGAAGGAGAGAGAGAGAGAGAGAGAGAGAGAGAGAGAGAGAGAGAGAGAGAGAGAGAAGAAAGAAAGAAAGAGACAGAAAGAAAGAGACAGAGACAGAGACAGAGAGAGACAGAGACAGAGACAGAGACAGAGATAGAGACAGACAGACAAACAGACTGACAGACTATCCAGCGCACACACACAAAACCCAACCGAGACAACGAAGGGGAGAAGACAACCCCACCAACTTAACCAAAGACCACACCCCCTCACCCACACAAAACATCCACCTCCCCCTTCCCCTCCTATCCCCTAACCCATCCCCCTCCGTCACCCTACATTAATCACCCCCCCTCTTCCCCCATCCCAACCCCCTCCTTCACCCTACCCTACTCACCCCCCTCTCCCTCACCATACCCTACCACCCTTCCCTACTCCCCCCCCTCCCTCACCCTACCCTACTCACCCCTCCCTCACCCTACCCTACTCACCCCCCCCCCCCCTACCCTACCCTACTCACCCCCCTCCACCCTACCCTACTCACCCCCCCTCCCTCACCCTACCCTACTCACCCCCTCCCTCACCCTACCCTACTCTCCCCTCTCCCTCACCCCCTACTCACCCCCCTCCCTCACCTACCCTACTCACCCCCCTCAACCTACCCTACTCACCCCCCCCTCATCCCCCACCTACCCTACTCATCCCCCATCAAATCCCTCCATCACCCTACCCTACCACCCCCCTCCCCTCACCCTACCCTACTCACCCCCTCCCTCACCCTACCCTACTCACCTCCCTCCCTCACCCTACCCTACTCACCCCCTCCATCACCCTACCCTACTCACCCCCTCCTTCTTCCCGTCTCCCCAGGACCCCCACAACGTCACGCTCTCGAACGCCACCCTCACCAAGATGAAACTCCTGAAGAAGAAGCGGGAGAACCAGCGGGAGATCGAACGCCGGCGCGCCGAGAGGGACACCAAGAGGACCAGGAGGAGAGGACGCGGAAGTACAGGGAGCTCGAGTTGCAGCACAGCGGGAATTCTCTGGAGCCGTCGAGGGCGAGTAGCGGCGATGCGGATCTGGGTACGTGGGGGTGTGGGTGGGTGGTAGGGGTCGGGGGTGTGGTTGGGTGGGTATTGTGTGGGTGGGTGGTCGCGTGTGTGGGTTGTGGTATTGTGTGTGTGAGGGGAATCGTGTGTGTAGCTTGGGGTGTGTGGTGGGTGGGTGGGTGGTGTGTGGGTGTGTGGGTTGGGGTATTGTGTGGGTGGGTGGTCGGTGTGAGGGTTGGGATGGGTACTGTGTGGGTGTGTTCGGGTGTGCGGGTTTACGGAGGTATTGTGGGTGGTCGGATGTAGTGGATAGGGGTATTATGGGCGTGTTCAGATTATCGGATTGGGGTTATTTGTGGATGTGTGAGAGTATGCGGGTTGAGGGTTTTTATGGTGCTGAGTGCGTGAGTGTGTCTGTGATCACAGTACGTACATGTAGGTGTGACGCACATGTTTGTGTCAGACAGAACAGAATATTTTGCTATGTCTGCACAGTGCCTCGCTACTGTCAACTCTCGAGAGAAAAATAACCCTGTTCTTTATAACCTTTGCCACTGATGACATCCATGAATACTCTGTGACGTCATAGCCACTAGCCCCGCCCCACTGCTCATTAGGTGTGAGAATGGCCTGTGAATAACAAAGCATCTTAAGTCAACAGTTCCCAATCTGACACGAACACGACGAAAGGTTGCCCATCATGTCATTTTTAAGATGTCTAGATTGTTCAAGCGAAAATCAATTATCTACGTAGAGGTCGTGTATTGAATTGCAAATATTGACCGCGCTAAAGTGTCAATCTTTATGGTTGCTTACCATGTCGGTCCCTCGCACACTTAGCATACACGTTTACTGATACGGGAAAGGGTAATAAACATATATATCTACATATAGAAAGTGAAAGAGACAGATATTCTAAGATATTCTGTTGGTTGATATATAGAAAGGATTATTTTAGGCGTGGATTTAGGCATATAGAGACACATCTCATACATATGGAAATAGAGGGACAGGTAGATATAAACACGGTTAGATATAGGTAGATATAGAAATATAGACAAAGAAATACATATACCAGTGCATACACACGCTCGCACGCACTTACACGCGCATAGACACACACTTACACTGTATGGATATATATGTGTGTGTGTAAATGTGTGGAGATAGGTAGATAGATAAGAAGATAGCTATAAATAAGTTAGATAGATATAAATTGTCAACTAGACATCCACATCAATTTCTGATCAGCTATAGAGTGGCAATGACCCAGTTGGAGGTCAGGTCTCCGCCACGGCCCTCTCCCTAGCGGCAGCCCAAGCCAAGGTCTGTTTACATGGACCTTGGCCCAAGCCGCAGCTGACTCGGCCGGCGCGAGTGAAGGGCCCCCGTCGAAGAGGCGCGCTGGACCTTGTACT